TCCAGTCTGGGCGACAGAGTGAGACTCCAACTCAAAAAAAAAAAAAAAAAAAAAATATATATATATATATATATATAAATTTTTAAATATAAATAAATAATTCACTGTTTTAAAGTAAATCAATGGATTTCGGTATATTTATGGAGTTATGCAGCCATCACCACTACCTAATTTTAAAACATTTTAGTACATTTTTTTTTTCTTTTTAACCAACTCAGATTCTTAGAAAACTCTTTCCTCTTAAAGAAAAAAGCCAAAAAAAAAAAAAAAAAGACCAGTTCCCTGCAGGAGACAGGAAGAAAGAGAAAGGCACTGAAGTTCAACCACTCTAGCTTTACAGGTTGGTCTACCTGGCCCTCACCCACGGCCACACAACTAAGATCACATGTGGGTGTGTGCCATTGCTTGCTTTCCTCCCCAAGACATGTTGACAGAGTCATTTTTTTTTTTCCCACACTTGATAACCCAGAAAGAAACCACAGCATCTGGGATTGATTCTCCAAGATTTCCCGACACTGCAGGCTGTACTTTCCTGTGCCTGCCACCCCTTCAGACCGAGGGTGTCCCACAATCTGGAGATATGAAGGGAGAGGGGTCAAAGGTGGAGGATGCTCTAACCCCGAAGTCATCGGAAAGTCATCTGGCAAAACCAGGCAATTTCTCCGTCTTCAACAGGATTTTGAACTCAGCTGAACTTTAGCAAGTATGAGATAATACGATGAGCATTTCTTGAGAATTCTGGAGACCCGCTAAAGAGTTTTGGCATTACGTCTCCCTCTCCTCTTCCCCATCGTTTCTGTTTCCTGTGGGGTTTTTTTTTCTGTTTGTCCTTTCTCTTTCCTGTTTCTGTTCCTTCCCCCATGTTCTTCTCTCGTCTCCTCTTCTGTTCTCCTCTTCTTTGCGTTACCGACCTTGCTTTTTATTCTTCACTCCCAGGCCTCCACCCTAGAAAGGACCACTTGGTCCCTCTTCTGTCGTTGCACCCCACTATCCCAACACACATGTGCCATATATGTTGCCAGTAACCTGAGGACACACCGGAAAGCTGAGCCATGGTCAATGCTCTTCTGAGATGTGAGGATGGGGCCACAGAGACTTCCACTGCCTTCTAGTGGAGGCTGGTCAGTGATGCTTTCTTCCAGGAGGTCACAGTGCCTCTTGCACTGCAACTTTGCACCTGCCCGAAATGTTAATGTTTCAGACCAAAGAAGAGAGGATCCGGGGTCTGTAATGCATGTTCGAGCCATCTGCAAGAGAACTTATAGGGCTTTCCTGAGTTGGGCAACCATTGTGAGATTTGAGGTATCCTCAAATCTCTGAGGAAGGAAATTCAGGAGGTAAGATTTCAACAAGTATGATTTTTGGAGGGGTGAGAGAACACGGGTTTTTAAACAGGATAAAGAAACAAATAGGGCAGAGGGAGGTCACCTTCCACAGCAACCACACCAGCCTTCTTCCATCCAACTTGGCTGGTTTCAGGACTCTCCACACATCCAGGCCATAAGGAGCTGTAAGGAACAAGAGTAAGGTGCTCAGACCAGAAAGAAGAAAGTTTACAACAGGAGAGAGGGAAGGTTAGCTGGGCAACGGGCAGGATTTGTTTGACAGAGTCAGTAGGAATAAGGTGGAGAGGAATGACAGCCTTGTAATGACCAATGATGCCTTCATTTTGTGGTCGGAGGACCAGAGTCAACCCAAAGGAAAACAATCAAACTGCTCCTGGGTCTAATGACCTAATGTAAGTTTTTTCCAAAAAAGTACAATAGATCCCATTGTAATATAATTTATCACCCAACTCTGGACTGAAACGTAACCATCTCATGTCTTTTAGACATAACATCTATATCATGACAACTGGGAATGACACAGCTAATTGATAAGCAGATGTATGTATATGTAATTTACACCATGCCTACTTAGAAAAAAATGAAACTGTGTACTTATCAAGCTATAAAATACAAGAAAAAGTTAAATAAGTAAAGAAATAGAAAATAATCTTCACTAGGTCCCTCCTCAACTCTAAATTTAATGCTGGTCTTCCTGGCAGAGAAAGTAAAAAAGAATCACATTGAGTTCCTTTTTTGTTGGTTTGTCTGTTTGAATCAGAGTCTCATTCTGTTGCCCAGGCTGGAGTGCAATGGCACAATCACCTCAGACTTGACCTGCTAGGCTCAGGCGATCCTTCCATCTCAGCTTTCTGAGTAGCTGGAACTACAGGCGTGCGCCATCCCACACAGCTAATTTTCTAATTTACTGTGTAGACAAGGTCTCACCATGTTGCCCAGGTCTTGAATCCCTGGGCTCAGGCAATCCTCTTGCTTTGGCCTCCCAAAGTGTTGGGATTACAGGCATGAGACACCATGCCCAGCCTTTCTTTTCTTTTTTGCAGGAGAGAAAAAGGTTTCATTGTAGAGGCACTGAATGAGGAGAGGGAAGGAAATCTCAAATCCATCTCCCTGAGGAGTTTAAGTGTTTTGGAGTGGCCCAAGTGAGAAGGGTGAAGTTACGGAAACTATATTCTCATGCTGATTCCATTCCTTTGTGGAGGTCTCCAAACTGGGTGGCCTCAGTTATTTTGTTGGAATTCGGGATCTGAAAAAAATCTTCAGGAATTCTTAAACAAAAACCTCCTGACTCTAATGTCAGAGAGCCTGTCTAGCTTAAACACCATATGATTCTAACATCAGAAATCCCAGCAACAGGAACAATGGGGATGCAGATGCTAAGTGTCTTGTGCTACGTGACTTTCAGTTAGCGTTATATCCCATGACCCGATAAAAAAGGAAACAGAAATTCATATGAAGGGGCAACTATTTTCTAGCTATGGACACTGAATTCATAAAGGGAATTTATCATGTGGTTCTTTTCATAAAGGACACAGAGTAACATAAAGGCCGATGTCTGCAAACCCAGTTGAGCAAAAGCACAAAAATAAAATATATTGTGTGTATATGTTTATTTCTCACGGCTGTTTTCCACAAAATACCAGGGTATAAATCCTGACATGTGCCTTTCTCACAATGATTGCCCAGCTGTAGATCACCTTGCAGATGGCTCAAACATGCATTACAAACCCCACCCGTCTCTTCTTTGGTCTGAAACATTAACATTCAGTGTAGATGCTAGGTTCCAGTGCAGCAGGCACTGTGACCTCCCGGAGGAAAACAGCACTGACTAGCCTCCGCTCGAAGGCAGTGGAAGGCTCTGTAGCACCATCCTCACAACTGAGAAGAGCGCTGACCAGGGCTCAGCTTGCCAGTGTGTCCTCAGGTCATTGGTACTGTAAACAGCATATCTAAGACAACATAGACCAAGTGTACAGGCTTCTGATGATCTAACTATACAAGGATAAAACTTATAAAAACAAGGAACTTACATTTCACTTGCTCTCTGGGCTATATCTTTCAGATATCATATGTCAAGCAAGCTTTGGCAAGGGATGGATCGCTGGCAACTTATAGTTGCCTGCCCCGGCATGCACTTGAAATGTCAAAATACCAAGCTATTGATTAAAGAATGACCCACACACTTTAGCCAGGAGAGGAAAGCAGAGAGTTCTAAAGAACTGTCCAGAAGGTTAGTGGCCTGCAATTTGGAGAAGAGAGTAAATGTCTCCAGTTGTTGCACTCTGAATCTTTTCTTGAGGAAGTCACATGGCTGAAGACAATGTGATTCCATCCACAAAGAATGGGGTCCACCAGTCAGGCCAAGATCTAAACTATTTTTGTACTGAGAGACTATCTTCAGGGATCTTTTTAACTATCTTTTTAAATTTTAGGTGACTGGCTATCTTAAAGTGAAATTACAGAATATCAACCAAAGACAATCTTATAACGTTAAAAAAAAGTTAATATTATTGCAATTAAGTCAATAACTTATTTTTCTTCAATGGAGAGTCACATTTCTACAACTATTCTTGCAGAAGTCTGTGTAGTTAACACAGTCTAGCTGTTAGGCCCAGGGTTTCCCAAGGAGATCTATTATAATTCCAATTGCTTATAAGGAGATTGGAACTGTTCAGGCTTTGTGTATAATCTGAATTCCACTGAAGTGTTGTTTTAAAAGCTCTGCCAGGAGTTTTCTGATTTCCCAATGACTTTTATTGATTCAGAAGACAGGACAGCCAGTACTCCACTTTCTCAGACAGGAAGCAACAAGCTAGTTTCAGCCTGTCTACAAGTCAGTGAGATGTAAGCAGCCATAAAGTTCCTTCCAAAGGCTTTGCATAGGGCTACAAGGTTATTAGACCTTCAAAGGAAACCACAGAATTAAAGGGACTCTCACTCCATCTCTAACTTGCAGGATCTTCCTATTCCAGGAGAGAAAAGCAGAGAGTTCTAAAGAACTGTCCAGAAGGTTAGTGGCCTGCAATTTGGAGAAGAGAGTAAATGTCTCCAGTTGTTGCACTCTGAATCTTTTCTTGAGGAAGTCACATGTAGAAAATCAAACTCAGGGATATTGAAAATAAGAAAAAGAAAATCTAAAGGCAAAGTGTTCATTATTGTCCAGTCCTAAGCAGTCATCTCAAGGATAGATATCCACAAAAATAAACTGATTATTAAATAATCATCTCAGGCACTTGATTTGAAATATGAGTGAAATTCTTCTTATATTATCTCATAGTCAGTCATTTAGTATTAGTAGTTGGTGATAATATGAGTTTAGACTGGGCTCGGTGGCTCAGCCTATAATCCCAGCACTTTGGGAGGCCGAGGTGAGTGGATTGCCTGAGCCCGCGGGTTCGTGAACTGCCCGGGCAAATTGGCAAGACCTCATCTCTACAATAAATCAAAAAAATTAGCTGGGCGTGGTAGCGCGCGCCTGTAGTTCCAGCTACTTGGAAGGCTGAGGCGGAAGGATTGCCGGAGCCCAGCAGGTCGAGGCTGCGGTAGCCGAGAGCAGCCACTGCTCTCCAGTCTGGGCGACAGAGTGAGACTCCAACTCAAAAAAATATATATATATGAGTTCAATTACTTTCTTCTTTCATTGAGGCTACTATTTCCTGCAGATATGATCCAAAGAGAAGTCTTCCAATAAAGACTTCCCACAGATGCAGCTTTTAGCAAAACCATTGCCTAGCTGACATGTAAATCTTCTACAATCATTCCAGCCAACTTTCCATTAACCATGAGATGATCATGGATTTGCACTGTAATCAAAGGAGGAAAGTAATAATTCTGTATTTGTGAAAATTGCAAAATTAAACTTTTTCAGATCAACCAAGATATTTACATAGTCAAAGATATCCATTGTCTGCACTGATATAGTATCGGTCTGATGCTACATTATTTCTATTATAATGTGGGTATTCCCACAATTACTTCCAATCAGACACAAATGATATCCTTGCTAAAGACCAACAATAATAATAGCTAACTTTTGGCAAGTGTCATTTTACCTGAATTATTTCATTTAATCTCCAAAACCCTATACTTAGGAATAGCAATTTTTGTTCCCACTTCTGAAGCACAGAGAAATTCATCAGCTGTCCAACATCATAAACTTTTTAAGTAACAAAGCTAGGATTTATATCCAATTATGCCTGTATCAGATAATAAGTACATATTGAATAAATGTAGGTAAATAACTATAATAATCAACATACTGAAATACAAAAGAAAACTTAGAATATGAATTTTCACCAGGCGCAGTGGCTCACGCCTGTAATTCCAGCACCTTGGGAGGCTGAGGTGAGAGGATTGCCTGAGCCTACCGGCTCAAGGCCTGGGTAACAGGGTGAGATCTTATCTCTACAATAAATCAAGAAAAACCAGCCAGGCATGGTGGCACGTGCCTGTGGTTTCAGCTACTTGGAAGGCTGAGGCAGAAGGATCACCTGAGCCCAGCAGATTGAGGCTGCGGTGGCTGTGAGCATGCCACTGCATTTCAGCCTGGGCAACACAGTGAGACTTCAATTCAAAAAACAAAACAAAACAGAATATGGGTTTTCAAGCAATTAGGAAGGTTTAAGGCAGTATGTATTGAACATCTGGCATTTCATTGAAATAGAAAAACAAATGGTTTATGAATTGGAAAAGAAGAAATTAGGATTTTCTGGGGTTTTGTGGTGCACTTTCATCAGATCATTTAGGATCCAAGAAAAATGAAGAAAAACAAAAGCAAAAGTTCTCTAGTAGTGACTTTGATAAATAAGTGTTGGTTTGGTTTATTTAGGAAAGGGCACAGAGAACACCTGCATCTGGTGTTTGCTAGTTAATCAACCTAGCTAAATTAATAAATCAGATGAAATAGCAAATCTTGTTTCTAGCAGCAAAACAAGCTGAGGAAGTGACATTAGGGAGTGACAGGACTATGATGAGCTAACCAGGTTTGAGACTGAGCCCTCACAGCACCAAGAAGTCACTAGTGAGAAGAATGACAGCTATGGGGGAAGAAGAGCTGGACAAACACGATCATACCCAAGGTAGTAAGTACTCAATCACCAGATTGCCTGCTGAAAGATGAAGTGAAAAAAGAGGACTATTTGCTCAATGATGTATGACCATCTCCAGTGGGGAATACAAAATCCAGAAGACATCAAATTGGTTCCAGACATCTGACCATATGGGTGTGTGTACACACCAAACATCTGTTAATACTGAGTCTCATGGGAAAATCAATGAGGATCTAGAGGAATAAATTGCTATCCTGTGGACCAGGGTGCAAAGAAGTCGACCCCATATGTTACCTGAGATCAGTGTGGAATTAGGGTATGAGACTAAAATCTCATTTTAATTTATTTTTTCCTTCCTTCCTTCTTTCTTTCGTTGTTTTGTCAGGTTCTTACTCTGTTGCCTGACAGATCACAGCTACTGCAGCCTTGACCTGCTGGGCTCAGATGATCCTCCCACCTCAGCCTTCCAAGTAGCTGGGACTACAGGCATGTACCATCATGCCCATTAATTTTTTTTGTTTATTATAGAGATGAGGTCTGGCTATTTTGCAAAGACTGGTGTCGAACTCCTGGACTCAGGCAGTCCTCTTATCTCAGCCTCCCAAAGTGCTGGGATTACAGGTGTGAACAACTGCTCCTGGCCAGAGAATTCATGTTCTAAAACCCCCATCACTTATAATTAAATAAGGTTAAAACTTCAGAGGAAGGTTGAAAGGGTGAGCATTTTAAAATTTCTTTTCCATAATTCAGGAGAAGACATGTGGACATTACCAAGTATTCATCTAATTAGTGATTCATTCATTGCATCAGGCTGAAAAATGCCCCCCCAAAGATGTGTAAGTCCAAGTTCCCCAGAACTTGTAAATGTTTCTTTATAAGGCAAAAGGGACTTTGCAGATGTGATTAAATTAATGATCTTGAGATGGGGGAATTATCCAAGTGGGTCCTAAATGTGGTCAAAAAAGGCCTAATAAGGAGGCAAAAAGATCTGACCCAAAAGAAGAGAAAAACGTAATGTGATGATGGAATGAAAAGTTTTGTAGATGGAAAAAGAGACCACAAGTCAAAGAACACAGGCAGTCACTAGACACTAGAAAAGGCAAGGAAGCATTCTTCACTCACAGTCTCTAAAAGGAAACAACTCTGCTGACACTTTGACCTTAGCTCCATGAACTGATTTTGGACGCCTGACTTCCCAACCCATAACAGAATGAAGCTGTGTTGTGTTGTCACTAAATTGTGGTAATTTGTTACAGCAGCAATAAAAAGTGAACACATTCATCAAACGTTTACTGATCATATACTGGGGTCAGACACTGGGCAAGGCTCTTGAAAACAGTAACATGTGCTGAGTGTCCCTGAACCTTCTGTTACCATCTCTGAAATTCAGCTTCCTCATTTCTAAAATGGGCGACTCTACATATTTTATAGGGCTCTTAGGAGGATTAATGATAGCAAGAGGAGGATAAATAATAAGAATAAGAAATTTGGCACTGGAGAATGTTTACTATGGGCTAAATATGTGTCATTAATCTTTAAAATAATGCTGAAAAGTAGAGAGTACTATAAACTCAAGCTACAAATTATACTTCAATATGGAAAGGAGGAATAAACTGTAAGGAAAATACTTAGGGTGGATTTAGAGATTAGGAATCTTACCCAAAGTCTCTCCAGGGCTAGACTGGGGTATAAGCCATGCCCACCGACCAGAAGCATTGTAATGGCTGTACCCGGCACATGGCAAGCTCTCGATCAATGTGCTGTCGCCATATCTTGCTGTCACTAAAGATGTGATTTTTTTCTTTCACTAGTTGCACCCTTTATTTTTATTTTTGTGTTGTAGCTTTAGGGTTTACAGTGCACATCTTTAATGTATCATAGGATGCCATGATGGTTAATACTAGGTGTCAACTTAACTAGATTGAGTCATGCTTAGATGGGGTTTTGGAACTGGGAGAGGAAGATTCACCCTCAATGTGAGGTGATGGGCACCATTCAATCAGTTGCCAGCTTGCTATAAAAAACAGGTGGAAGAAGGGGAATAAGTAGCTTGCTAAGTTTCCTCCCTCCCTTTCTCTCCCTTCTCTAGAGGGATGCTTTGCTTCCTCTCCTCCTGCCCTTGGACATAAGATTCCAGATTCCTCTGCCTTTGGACTCTGGGACTTGCACTGGCAGTCCCCTCGGGGCTTTTGGACCTTTAACCTCAGACAGAGGTCTGCAGTGCTGGCTTCCCTTGTTTCGAGGTTTCAGGACTCAGACAGAGTCACACTACCAGCTTTCTCATTGCCCAGCTAGCAGACAGTCTACCGTGGGACTTCACCTTGTAATCCCACGAATCTTTCCTAATAAATTCCCTTTTATATAGACATATACCCTAGTGGCCTGTCTCTCTAGAGAACCCTGGTGGGTATAGATACCCTTAAATGGTATGATAACACTTCACATATAGTATAAGAACCTTATAAGAATGTTAAAAATGTGATCCTTTGCTTTGGGGGCACAAAGATGCTAAGGCAGAAGAGCACCACAAGAGGAGGGCAAGTGCTCATCCCAGGGGCTCAGGTGGGCACCAGGAGTGCCTGAGGAGAGAGGAAGTGCAGACACCTGAGGCCCTGGGATGCGGACATTCTGTGATTCCCAACCCCGGCACTTGACAAAACCCACCAACTCTAACCCAAGGCAGCCTTACACCAGAGCAGGCAGAAAAGGAATTACGGGGGGCCGCTTGCCTTCTTCTTCAGTTGTTCCCACTTTTTCCTGGCTCCATTCGCTCCAGAACCTCGACTCCTCAGCCGCACATCGCAGAGCTATGACATATTCCGTAAAAGCCTGCAGCCCTGTGAGGTTGTAGGTTTGCTTTGCACTGAAACGATTCTCAGTGAAGTCGACTTCCATCTACAAGACAGAGACAACCCTGAGCTGGAATGGAGACAGCACGTGTTATCTTTCCATTTTTCTCTTTGTTACCCAACACTCTCTTACCTTTTCAGAACTAGTAACACGCTAAATCAAATTTTAAAATGGATCATTTTAATAAACAAACTTCTACACGTGTCTGGGAACAACTGGTCCCTAAATAAATATGAATCTCCCAGTGAACCACCACCTCCCTCCCCGTTTCCTGTCTCTAAGCTCTAAGCACAGATTCCTGCCTCTGGGCTGGTCTGAGTGAGTAGAGCCCTGCTGCTAGTGATTCTGGAAGATGCAAAGCAGAGCCCCATGACAGGGAGCAACCTGGCCTGGGAGGTGGCTCCAACACCTTGAGATACAGTCTCATAGAACAGCAGGGACAGAGACCTTTGCTGTGCCAAATCCAGTCTTCAAGTCACAAACAAGACCAGGAAAGTTAAATGACTTCTTAAATAAAAGTTAAAAGATCAGCAACAAAAAATAGGGGGGAGACCTGAACATTTATCACAGTAGCATAAGGGAGGGATTGGCAGTTGTGGGACACGATCAGGGGAGGAGTGGGGAGCATGTAACAACACAAAGTGTACCTGTTACTAAACCAGAGGAAGTGAGGACCAGTTTGAGGCCCAAATTTCACCTGCACATAGATTACTTATGTACTTAATCCTGACTTGTACCTCATATCTTTATAATAAAGCAAAACTAGTACCAGAACACAGATTCTTTCACTCCTAGGCTCTTTCCCTTTGTCCAAATCTTTCATTTGAAATGGATGGCCTTTGGGTAGCCAGTCAAGGTGCTGAAAGTCTCAACAACATGGAAGTATAAACTCATGTTGACACTCTCTTAGGGAGGGGAGAGATAAATGCTCAGTTCTCTTTTCCTGATGTTAGTTTCTCATTAGTAAAATGAAAATGTAGCTTTATATCATTTCTAAAGTTCCTTCTGGACCCAGCCTTCCAAGAGAAACTAAAAGTGTAACTATTCCTTTCTGAGTAGTCATTGTTGTCCAATATAAACTTTTGCCTGTTGGTTTATAAAACTTATATTGAGTTGATTAACACAAATAAACTGCACAGACCAAGCATGGTGGCTCAAGCCTACAATTTCAACACTTTGAGAGGTCGAGGAAGGAGGACTGCTTGTGTCCAGGAGTTTGAGATCAACCTGGGCAACATAGTGAGACCCCGTCTCTACAAAAACAAATCTAAAAATTAGCCAGTCGTGGTGGAATGTGCCTGTAGTCCCAGCTACTTAGGAGCCAAGGAGAGAGGATTGCCTGAGCCCAGAAGGCGGAGGCTGCAATGAGCCTTGATTGTGCACTCTAGCCTGGAGGACAGAGTAAGACTCTGACTCAAAAAAATAAAAATAAACTGCACCAATAGGCAAGTCTATTGGGTTAGGATGCACACAATAGTCCCATGAGACCCTGCAAGAGAAGGAAATTCTGATATTTCTCATGTCTATGTAAAAGTTATGAAGATTATACCTAGTTACAACTCCCGGGCCTAAAGGAAATTGGGCAAAGGGAGGATGTGCGTCTGTGGCAGAAAATCGAACATTTCAGCTGTAGGTGAGCCCTCCTCTCCGCCTGGGGAGATGGGGGTGGCAACAGCAGCTTGGCTGCAGAATCTAGGTTCCCTGAGCATCCTCTTCAAATAGCCCCTGGAGATGCTGTGGCAGCAGATTAGGGTTATGGGGATCCTAACTCGGGACAACCTGTCGTTAATGAGACAGACCGGTTGGAACAGGATTAAGAGTTAGGAGAGGCACAACCACATGGTGCCCTCCAAAGGTAATTCAAAATAAAAATGATGCAAATCCATACAGCAAGTGTAAGGAAGTCTAACAAAGCTCTATTTTACTTTTCATGCTTTAAAAAATATATATATATACACATATATATATATACACACACATACACATATATGTATAATCTTTCTGATTTTCCTCCTCCTTTGCTCTTACCCTTAGCCCATGCTCTGCCTGTGTGGTGGTTCTCATCGTGATCACGCTCAGAAAGTTTTGCCTAAGGTAGCCGCTGATGTAGTTTGGATTGTCGTCCCCTCCAAATCCCAGGTTGACATGTGATCCCCAGCAGTGGAGGTGGGACCTGGTGGGAGGTGTTTGGATCCATGGGGGCGGATCCCTTACCAACGGCTTGGTGCCAAGCTCAAGGTAATGAGTGAGTTCTCTATTAGTTCTCCAGAGAATTGATCGTTTAAAAGAGGCCCAGCCGGGCTCGGTGGCTCAGCCTGTAATCCCAGTGCTTTGAGAGGCTGAGGTGAGTGGATTGCCTGAGCCGGCGGGTTCGAGACCCGCCTGGGCAACTTGGCGAGACCTCATCTCTACAATAAAGCAAAAACTAGCCGGGTGCGGTAGCGCGTGCCTGTAGTTCCGGCTACTCAGAAGGCTGAGGCGGAAGGATCGCCGGAGCCCAGCAGGTCGAGGCTGCGGGGGCCGGGAGTGGCCACTGCACTCCAGTCTGGGTGACGGAGTGAGATTCCAACTCAAACAACAACAAAAAAAAGAGGCTGGCGCCATCTCCTCCTTGTCTTGCTCCTGTTATTGCCATGTGACACTTCTCTCTCTCTCTCAGCCTTCCGCCAGTACTGCAGGTGCCAGTACCATGCAGAACCATAAGCCAAAATAAACTTCCTTCCTTTATAAATTACCCAGCCTCAGGTAATTCTTTATAGCAACATAAAATGGACTAATACACCACATAAGCTTGCCCTTCCCAGCCCCAACCTCAGGGGAAACAAAAAAACTACTCAGTCTTTCAAATAATGTACGATTAAGGCTCCTTTTACCTTGGCTTTTTGTCTAGCCTACGTGCCTTTGGCCCTCACACAGGGTCCGGGATCAACTGATCCTTTATGTACAGGCTTAGATGTAAACATTTCCCAACTCCACATAGGCAACAGAACTCCACCAAAACACTAATTAGTTCTACCCAGTTTGTTTTTAACTGTCTATACTTTATGCCAAATTCTAATTCACCCAAAGTGTTTGTCTTAAGAGATGAGTCAGAAGTTTTGGCAGAAAGCTTAAGTCAAATTCTTAAAACAGTCTTGAGATCCGTTTCTAGGATGTTGACATGGTTTCCTTGTATATAGGTGCAAACCCCTTAGATTGTGGCCACAGATAGAGTTGAAGGTTGCTGAAGTATGGCCACATGAATGACAAACTTGGAGTCAGAAAACCTGGGCTTAGATTTGCAACTTATAAACCTTGTGATCTTGGATAGATCATTTAGGCTTTCTATATCTCATCTATAAAATGAGGATAGTAAGCCCTCATTTATAGTGAATTTGCCAGTATTAAATAATTTAGAGTATAAGGAAGCACTCTGTAACTCATATAACATCATACAAATATGGGTCTTGTTATATGGACATATTGGAATTTTAGGATTAGTTTTACATGGCTTAGTTTAGACAAACATTTCCTGAGCACAGACATGTGCCAGGCAAAGAGAAAACATAGACCAGCATCCCTGCATTTGAAGAACTTACAGTCTAATCAGGAGAGAGACAAGTTTAAAGGTGTTCATTGTTAAGTGCAACGACGGAGGCATCCAGAGAAGGGACACCAGGTTCGACTCAGGCCCTCAGGAGATTTGTCAGACCTGAGTTCTGAAAGATCGGGGTAGGGGCAGAGATGCAAAAGCAGAGAGTGTTCTGGGAGGAGGCACAGAATAGCAAGACAACATTAGGAAGGGTAAACAAGCAATACAGAATTATTAGAGAGGCAGGGGCAAGGTGAAAGATGAGGTTGAAGGGGTCGATAGGGACCAGATCTCGAGGGTTAAGGATCTGGACCTTTTTCCGTCAATGGGAACCTTTGATAGAAGGTTGGGAAGAACTGAGTTATGTTTAGCTGGGTTTAGAACTGAGGAGACTTGCTTGTGTTTGAAAGCTAAGGACTTGAGAGGGTGTAAGGATTTTACCATCCTTCCCAGAACATCCAAGAGAAGAGGAGGAAGGACAACTTATCTCGGGGACTGGAAGGAAGGTGGCAGAGATGAGTACAGATGTAAGTCAGAAGTGGGATACAGGATGTCGAGAGTTGGAGTAGTTCATACTTGTTGCCCTCAGTGTTGTTGGTTGTTTAGCAATTTTCCAGAGGGTCATAGGTCTGGGTTTGTTTTTCTTGTTGAATCCTATCCCAGCAGCTGTAGTGACTCTGAGCTCAGAGAAAGAGAAGGAATCAAGGAGATTAAAGTAAGTAGTTCACCCCAGAAGTTCCGCCAGTTCACTGAGACTATGACATGTGGTATAAAGGAAGATGAACTTGTGCTATGTTGGGAACTGCTTAGGGGTTTCCTAAACTACAAATCAATGTGTCTAATGTTACATGTAGTCAGGTTCCAGGAGAACTGGTTCCAGAGATGGCTTAGAAAGAAAGCTGGGAGGTGAAGAGGCCAATATCATCTCTCTAAACACAGGACAAGAGAAACTTCAGAAATTTTCTTTTCTGAAACAGCTCTGGTCTAGGAGAGGATGCAATAGACATAGTATCTATGAGTTTCCACCAAAGAAAGTCTCATGATAGCCTCCTGGACATGATGAAAAAAGAAGGCTGCATGACTGTAGTGTAATTATATATATTCATAGAAATCTGAATACATGATCATACTCAGAGAAGGAGACCCGGGAGTGTGACTCATGCCTGTCATCCCATCACTTTGGGAAGCCAAGGCAAGTAGATTGCTTGAGCCCAGGAGTTCAAGACCAGTCTAAGAAACATAATGAAAACTCGTCTCTACAAAAATTTTTTAAAAATAACCAGCCATGGTGGCATGTGCCTGTAGTCCCAGTTACTTGGTATGCTGAGGTGGAAGGATCACCTGAGCCTAGGAGGCTGAGGCTGCCATGAGCCATGATTGTCATGTTCATGCGACTGCAGTCCAGCCTGGGCGACAGAGAGAGAGCCTGACTCAAAAAAAAGGAAAAACAAAAAGAGGGCTTGATTCTCTGGTTGGTCTCTACTGATTTACCACAGGACTCTGATGTAGTCACCATTTATATTAATAATTGGATAAACGTATAGGAGTTTTATCAAATCTGAAGATATCGAAAAGTTCAAAAATAGAAAGTTAACTGTAAATTTTGAGTAACTGAATAAAGGTTCTAAATAAGCCGAAATGATGGGTAAGACCAACATGAAGAAATTCAATAGGAATAAATAAAACACTTGACCTTAGATTAAAAACCAAGAACTGGCTGGGCTCGGTGGCTCAATCTGTAATCCCAGCACTTTGGGAGGCTGAGGAAAGAGGATTGCCTAAGCCCACGGGTTCAAGACCCACTCGGGTAACTTGGCGAGACCTTGTCTCTACAATAAATCAAAAATTAGTCGAATGTGGTAGTGCGTGCCTGTAGTTCTGGCTACTTGGAAGGCTGAGATGGAAGGATCGCAAGAGCCCAGCAGGTCGAAGCTGCAGTGGCCGGGAGCATGCCACTGCCCTCCAGCCCGGGTGACAGAGTGAGATTCTACCTCAAAAAAAACAAAAACAAAAACAAAAAACAGAAAAGCCAACAACTTATAAGATGGTGGAGATAAGTTTTACTAACAACTCTTAAAGATTTAATTACCTCATAATTGATTAAGTGTCAATAATGTGAGGCTGTTACAAAAACGTAATAGATATAATTTCAGACTGCACTGATAAAAATGGGAAAATATCTTCTGGACTTTGAAGAAAGAAAAGATTTCTAAAGACACAATATGCATTAAGCATAAAGGAAAATACTGCTAACATTTGACAGTATTAAAATTAATAAGTTTTGTTCACCAAAAGTCACCAGCAAGAGAGTAAAAAATCATGCCACATAGTGAGAGATATCTGCAACAAACATAACAAATAAGAGATTCATAAACAGACTATATAAGGAATATCTACAAGTCAATTAAAAAATCAGGCAGACCATCTAACAGAAAAAACGTGCAAAAGGTTTAAATCAGCACTTCATAAAAAAGGAAGCCAACCAGCCAATAAACACGTGAAATGTGTACAACCTCATTAAAAGTTGGGTAAATGCAATTAAAGCCATGGATTCCCTTGTATTCACATAATGAAATACTACACAGCAGTGAAAATGTATAAACTACAGCATTATATAACATGAATACATCTCAAAGGCGTAATATTCAGAGATGGAAGCCAAACATTAAAAAGTACAAAATGGCCAGGTGTGGTGCACATGTCTGTAGTCCAAGCTACTTAGGAGGCTAAGGCAGGAGGGTCACTTGAGCCCAGGAGCTTGAGGCCAGTATGGGCAACATAGCAAGACCACATTTGTAAAAAACAATAATAATACATTTTTTAATAACATCAAAAATAAAAGTGTATGAACTCCATGTATATGTTTCTCATATATTCCCACTGAGGACTCCTTCATTCTGGGGCTCAAGGAGAGAGAGGATAGGCCCTTAAACTATGTTTCTTCAGGGATGCAGGCTTAAATGGTAAAACCATAATAAAAGTAAAGAAGTGACTACCATGAAAATCAGTGTAAGAGTTGAGCTTTCTAGGGAGGAAGGGCTTGATCATCAGGAAACAGTCAGCAGAGGGCTCTGGCATACCAGAAATGTTTTGTTCTTGGCCTCAGTGGCTTTTACATGAGCACTGACTTAATGATAGAGTTAAACCCAATACTTATGTTTTGTTCACTTTTCTAAATGTGTGCTATACATCACAGTTTTATGAAAGGTTGGAACAACAAAAAGTCAAATAGCCAAACAATAGGCTCACTAACATACTAAACACAAACCTGGAGAGAATGCAAAAGCAAATGTCTCGCTCTAACACGTCCCTGTGCTCAAAAAGCAACATGCCTATGGTAGAACACTTTTCCAACCCAAAAGGTCCAAATGGAAAACTGGGAAGGAATGTACTCAGTACTGTCTCTCTTTTATTTTCAATGTAAAAAATGAAAAAAACAATTTCAGACCAACAACAGTTGTCAGTGATTCTCTTCTTCAGGTCCTCTGATATTGTGATGGCATGACTTACCCAGCGGGTACTATTGACTGTTCTGAATCGAAGTGTGTATTTTAAATCAGATGAAACAGGTGCCAACTCAGGCCTTATCCATTTTATTTGAACCATTCGCTTGATGTCTAAAACTGGCTTCACACTGGAAATCTCAGGGGGTTCAGTTTTCACTGAGAATAAAAATGATACAGTTATCATATTTGCAAAAAGTTAAAAAATTACTGACAGCTTCCACCCAATATTGGAAAAAGAAAGTCTAGAAAAGCAATGGTAGTACATGTTTTGTGGTCTACTAGGAAGTGAAAAAGGAATGCCACCACCCAGCCCTGCACCTCCGGGAAAAGGAATGCCCAATGAAACGAAAATGTATTCCTGGGATTTTTCTGCAAATCAGTCTTTTACTGATAGGATCATATCCTATGCTGAGCAATAGGAAGGTATAAAGAAGCCACACGACCACGAAACAGGATGTTTCTCTTTATTTACTCTCTCCTCCCACAGGCCTCTTTCCTTGACCCCTAGGGTGAAAGAATACTCACTAGAAAGCACCTCTCATTCTGGTCCCAAATTTCTCTGTTTGAAAATATGTATTTTTCTGGTTATAAAAATAGCATATGTTCATTACAGGGAAAATGTTTAAATGTAGAAAAATACAAAGAAAAACTTAAAATCACCCAAAATCCCATCAACTCATTAACATTTTGGTATATTTCCTTTCAGACATTTTTCTATATAATTATTTGCATCTCTTTTTTTTTTTCAGTTGGAGTCTCACTCTGTCATCCAGACTGGAGTGCAGTGGCCGCTCCCGGCCACTGCAGCCTCGACCTGCTGGGCTCCGGCGATCCTTCCGCCTCAGCCTTCCAAGTAACTGGAGCTACAGGCACCCAGCTAACTTTTTATTTATTGTAGAGACAAGGTCTCACCAAGTTGCCTGGGTGGGTCTCGAGCCCACAGGCTCAGGCAATTCACCCGCCTCAGCCTCCCAAAGTACTGGGATTACAAACTGAGCCACCGAGCCCAGCATTTGCATATCTTTTAAATAAAACTGATACTATTCTAAATAAAGTTGTGTCTTCTTAAATGACATTATGCAATCAGTGTGTTTATTTCTATTAAAAATTCTTCAAAACACGATTTTTTAAAGCTTTTTAATATTCTTTATGAATAACAAAATTTTTTGGCCATTGCTCTATTATTGCACATTCAGTGTTTCTAATTTTTCATTTAAAGCTCCTTGAAGACAGAGGTTGGTCTTAATCAAAGAGTGATCTTAGCCTGGGCGACAGAATGAGACCCCAACTCAAAAAAAAAAAAAAAAAAAAGAGAACAACATACATTATACTATTATCAACATGATAGGCTTGCTGTGTGGATAAAGTAGTACTTAGAGCAGTTCCTGGCTATTTGGAAAATGTAACCTATTTGGACAGTTATTTGACCTTGTCTGTAAAACCTGACAATGACTTTTATATTTTTCAATCACATTGTAAATTTCCAAGATCTCTTCAATAGTCCCTGATAGTATGTGTTACTTTACCAATAAAAAATATTAAAAAGTAGTTTCATTCAGAAAAAAAAAGGCCTTTCTAATCCCTTTATTAACTGTAATATTTATCTGCAGAAATTGACAAGCTAATCCTAAAATTCATGTAGAAATGCAAAGGATCCAACAGCCAAAACAATCTTGAAGAAGAACACAGTTGGAAGTTACATTTTTTCAATTTCAAAACTTATTATAAAACGACAGTAGTCAAGACAATATGATACTGGCATAAAGATAAAAATATAGATCAATGGAATTGAACTTACAACCCAGAAAAACACCTTACATTTATGGTGAATTGATTTGTATAAGACTGCAAAACAATTCAGTGGCATGGGGTGGGAGTGAAGACTGAAACCGTCTTTTCAACAAATGGTTCTGAAATGATACCCATATGGAAAAGAATTAAGTTGAACCACTACTTAACAGAATGTACAACAATTAACTTTAAACGGATCAAAGATTTAAATGTAGGCGCTAAAACTTTAAAACCCTTAAAAGAAAACATAATGGTAAATCTTTGTGATCTCAGGTCAGGCATTAATTTCCTGTTCATAGATATGACACCTCAAGTGCAAGCAATAAAAGAAAAATATATAAATAGGTTTCATCTAATTAATTTTTTCTATCTGAAACAATCCCATTAAGAAATTAAAAAGACAACAACCCACAGAAAGGGAGAAAATACTTGCAAATTACATATCAGATAAGAACTTGTACCAAGGATATATAAAGAATTCTTAACACTCAAAAATAAAAAGACAATTCTTTTAAAAATGGGCAAAGAATTTGAATAAACATTTCTCCAAAGAAGATATGCAAATGCCCTATAAGCACATAAAAAATGTTCAACATCACTAGATGCTCGGTAAAATGTAAGCCAAAACCACAATGAAATAAATACCACTTCACACCCACTAGAATGACTATAATCAAAAAGATGCACAGCAGCAAATGTTGGTGAGGATATGGAGAAATTGTAACTTTTATAAGCTGCTGGTAGGACTGTTAAATCGTGCGACCACTTTGATAATGTTTGACAGTTCTTCAAAAAGTCAAACATTGAGTTACCACATGACTCAGCAATTTCACTAGGTATATTGCTAAGAGTATTGAAACATATGTCCACACAAAGATTTGTTCATAAATATTCATAGCCACTTTATTAAAAATACCCAAAAGGTAGCAACAACCCAAATATCCTTCAACTGATGTATCGACAAACAAAGTGTAGTATATACATCCAGTGGAGTATTATTCAGCTCTAAAAAGAAATGAAGTCCTGATACATGCTACAACATGGATGAACCTTGAAAACATTATGCTAAAGAAATCAGATACAAAAGGTGACACAGCATTATGTTTACATAAAATATGTAGGTATTATATAAACAAATTAGATACAAAAGGCAATATATTATATCATATTTATATAAAATATATAAGCAAATCCATACAGACAGAAAATAGATTAATGGTTGCCAGGGTTTGGGGGAAGGGGAAAACAAGGGATTGGGCACTGACTTCTTATGGGTAGAAGTTTCTTTTGGGGATAATAAAAATGTTCTGGAATTAGACAGTAGTGATGTTTGCACAACTTTGTGAATACGATTTTTTTAAAAACCACTGAATTGTATACTTTAAAAAGGTAAAATTTATGGTATGTGAATTATGTCTCAATAAAGCTATTATTTAAAAAGGAAGGCCGGGCTCAGTGGCTCAGCCTGTAATCCTAGCACTTTGGGAGGCCAAGGCGAGTGGATTGCCTGAACCCACAGGTTCAAGACCAGCTCGGGCAACTTGGCGAGACCTTGTCTCTACAATAAATCAAAACAAAATTAGCCGGTATGGTAGCGTGCCCCTGTAGTTCCTGCTACTTGGAAGATTGAGGCAGAAGGATCGCCAGAGCCCAACAGGTCAACACTGGGATGGCCGTGAGTGTGCCACTGCACTCCAGCCTGGGCAACAGAGTGAGACTCAAACTCAAACTAAAAAAAAAAAAAAAAAAAAAAAAAGGATGTGGTAAAAACGGGCCTTTGAAAAAGAATTTAAAAGGTCAGAATTAGAGAGATGTTTTACAAAATAAAAATTTGTTTTCTTTCTTTTATGAGCAATGACACTGGGGTGGGGGAAATCTTTTTATTTATTTGAATACAATTTATGGTATAGACTACAAGAAGCAATCAGTGGCCAGCAAGATATTTCTCCCTACCCTTCCCTTCTTTTCCCTTCCCCTCTTCCCCTCTTTCTTTCTTCCTCCCTCCCCTTCTTTCTTCTTTAATAAGTAGCTGAAGTTTCTGTATATTCATAACACATACCTATTATGTCCTTGAACTTTGAGTCTACCTTCGAGTGTACAGATACTGCTTTAACAAAAAGAGAGAAAGAAACAGAGAGAGAAAGAGAGAGAGAGAGGTAATCATTCAATAAAGAGTATATAAGAATGTCAAATAACACTTACCTATGGCATCTAAGCTCCAATATGTCATATCAGATTCAATGATACCATCTGCATTTTGAGCTTGCACTACAATGGTGCACTTATCTGGGTTTGTTATTCTTGGAAAGGAAAAAGTGCACGAGGCATGATTTTCTCTTGTAGAACTATTGGTCGTACAATTATCGCTTTTGCTTCCATAAAGGCTTTGAAGGAAAAGTGATATCATAAGTTTAGTACAATGGTTTGGAAACATAGCTCCACTTGATGTATTAAGTAGTATTAGTTAATTTTACTCTGGGTTTCTCTTGAAAACTGTATAGAACAGGATTTGGTCACTCTCTCCAAATTCCTTCCTCACTCCCAAGGAGAGGTGAAAGTTACGTGCTTTCTGCTGCCTGAAATGATTCAGGAGCCACAAAGGCCTCTTAGGGCCCTGTAAGCCCATGAAAAGCTACTCTTACGATGCATGTCATATTGGCAAGAAATGAGTAGACTCCTAAAAATTCCAGATCCTAACTTTAAAATTTTATTCTTAAAAACAAAAAATTTATATGCATATATATGTGGATTTGTTAAACAAATTATGGAATTTAAATATAATTTCAAATCAAGGTTTTTGTTCTTTTCTTATTTTTTTGAATCAAGGTCTCACTATCACCCAGACTAGAATACAGTGGCACAATCACAGCTCACTGCAGCCTCAACCTCCTGTACTCAGGTGAGCCTTCCACCTCAGACTCCCAAATAGCTGGGACTACGGGCACATACCACCACTCCTGGGTAATTTTTTTGATTTTTTGTAGGTCTCACTATGTTGCCTAGGCTGGTCTTGAACTTCTGGATTCAAGGAATCCTCCTGCCTCAGTCTCCCAAAGTGCTGAGGGATTACAGGTATGAGCCTCCACCCCCTAGCCCGTGATGGTTTTTAATATGCTATAGATGTTGATATGGAAAGATGCCTGTATTTTATTGTTGGTGAAAAAAGCAGGATGCAGGTCAGGTTCAGTGGCTCAGCCTGTAATTCCAGCACTCTGGGAGGCCGAGGCAAATGGATTGTCTGAGGCCGTGGGTTTGAGACCAGCCCAGGCAACTTGGCGAAACCTCATCTCTACAATAGAAAAAAAATTAGCTGGGCACACTCCTGTAGTTCCAGCTACTTGGAAGGCTGAGGCTGAAGGATCACCAGAGCCCAGCAGGTTGACGCTGGGGTGGCTGTAAGCGTGCCACTGCACTCCAGCCTGGGCAATGGAGTGAGACTCCAACTCAAAAAAAAAGAAAAAAGAAAAAAGCAGGATGCATTTCATGATTGGAATGATAAAAGTTATATAAATAAACATAGATATTTATGTAACTATTCATAGAGATATCTGGAAAGATCACGAAAATGTTAAAGCCGTTACTTTTGGCAGTGGGATTCTGGGTAATTTCTTACAGTCGCTATATTTTTCAGTTTAAACTTTTAAACATAGGTATATAATGTTTTCAGAAAATTCATTAAAACAGATAGATTAGATGGATGGATGGACAGACAGACAACTCCACTTTTTATTCCCCAAGGAAAAATTCACTCCTGTTTCTGGGCATCAGTATGTTTTTTGCTTATACCATGATCCACTGCAATGCACTCTCAGGCTGACTATTCACAAAAAAATCCTTCCATTTTGTCTGGAAAAGATAACCTTGGTGATAGATTCACAAAAGTGCAGAAGTCCTGAGAGCTTAGCAGGCCTGGGCCTATTAAGGGGGGCTGGGTATAGTCCTAGGGACACTCAGGGGTTTTCTATTTCTACACAACGAGTTGGTGATAAGAACAACCATAGGGAAAGAGGAAAGGAGAGCAGGAAAAGTCTCTATAAAAATGGAAAAATAGGCTGGGCACAGTGGCTCACACCTGTGATCCCAGCACTTTGAGAGGCCAAGGCAGGAGGAGTTCGACACCAGCCTAGGCAACATAGCAAGACCACAAAGTCAAAAATCTAGCTGAGCTTGTTGGCGCATACCTGTAGTCCCAGTTACTCTTGAAGACTGAGGCAGAAGGATCACCTGAACCCAGGAGTTTGAGGTTGTGGTGAGCTATGATGGTGCCACTGCATTCTAGCCCGGGTGACAGAGTGAGACTTCAACTCAAAAAATAAAATAAAACAGAAAAATAGGAGTAAACCTATTAAGGCTTCCAGATTTTCATTCTTTTTGTTTTTTTGGGGGGGGGGGTTGAGTTGAAGTCTCACTCCATCACCCAGGCTGGAGTGCAGTGGCAAGCTCACGACCACCCCAGGTTGACCTATTGGGCTCCGATGATCCTTCCGCCTCAGCCTGCCAAGTAGCCAGAACTCCAGGCACATGCTACCACTCCCTGTTAAGTTTTTATTTATTGTAGAGACAAGGTCTCGCCAAGTTGCCTGGGCTGTTCTTGAACCCGTGGGCTCAGGTAATCCACTCGCCTCAGCCTCCCAAACTGCTAGGATTACAGGCTGAGCCACCGAACCCAGCCTGGATTTTCATTCCAATTTCTAGGACATCGGTCCTAGAATTGGCCAGATGCATGCCTATAATCCTAGCACTTTGGGAGACAGAGGCAGGCAGATTGCTTGAGCCTAGGAATTCTAGACGATACTAGGCAACATAGTGAGACCTCATCTCCACAAAAAATCAAAAAATTAGCCAGTTGTCCCAGCTACTTGGGATGCTGAGGTGGAAAGATTGCCTGAGTCCAGGAGGTCGAGGCTGCCGTGAGCCATGATCATTGTAATCGTGTCACAACGGTGAGACTCCCAACTCAAAAAAAAATAAAATTTGTTCCTAGAATAATCAAGTCTGGGAGAAGATAAGTCATTTGGACCATGGGTTATTGGGCCTTTATCAGTCTATGTTCTAAAGCAGGGGTGGGCACACTATAGCCTGCAGGTCAAATAGAGACCACCTCCTGTTCTTGCATGGCCCAGACTAAAGAACTGTTTTGTGTGTGTGTGTGTGTTGTCAAATGGTTTGGAAAAAAAGAAAGAAAGAAAGATACTTTGAGGCCTATGAAAATTATATAAAATTAAAATTTCCATTTCCATAAATAAAATTTTACTGGAAAACCATCATACCCATTGTTTACATTTTACTGGAAAATAGTCACACTTAAAGCAGCCTTTGTGCTACACCAGCAGTGTTGACTAGTTTGACAGAAACCAATTTCCTTCTGTATCTACTATCTGGCCCTTTACAGAAAAAATTTGCCAACCCCTGTTTTAAAGCATCTCTCTGATATAGGTACTCTTGCTTGATCAGTTTTGCAAAGAATATTTGCTTTTTCCCTTTCTACTATAAAACATAAAGTGGACTTCCCTTACAACATGAGATTTTTGTATTTAAAAACAAAAAACCTTGGCGCCTTAGATGCTCTTTTTGAAATGGAAAAGACTAAAGATCATCTTACAATGGTTCCCAACATGAGTACCCTTATTCCTAGAGGAACAAGAAGGAAGTAATGGATTTCATGAGCTATGTTCAAAATTTTAACCCCAGCCAAACACAAACAAACAAAAAAACCCTGAATGTACACACGTATAGCTTTTGCCTAGAACTATAATTTAAAATTATAAATTCTTTATTCTATAGAATCAGATAAAAAGGGATGCTTGAGATAGTGAAGAAAATTGGGGAATGGTCCTGTTGACAGGACTCACACAGCAAATTAGTGGCAGAATGAGGTAAATTGCCTTTTAGTTCTAGGTTTACAGTCCTAGAAGGAATAAATAGTTTTATAACACATTTTGGAAAGAGGAGGGGTATAGTTGAATATAGTACAGAAAGAGATTGTTCTACTGTGTTTATAACTGGCAACTAATCTCAGCCAATTGGGAATCTCAGAGGAGGTCACTGCAATCCCAACCATATGGCTGTCACCCCTGCCACTAGATGCACACAGCAGTCACTCAGAAGCTGTAACAGAGGAAACATTTTACTTCATAAATGGCATGAATTATGAATAAAACAGAAGGCTGTACCACCTCCCCTTCCCCTTACTGAGAAAACACAAGCTCCTGTACTTACAAAGTTCTCTTAACTATATACTGGGTGTAACTGGCTTTCTTTCCCGTACTCCAAGTGCAAGTTAAATTTTTCCGATAATAGAAGACGCAAGAAATGTTCTCAGGCTTAGCTGGTAGAGCTAAATAAATTTAAACACACACACACGCACACACACAAACAACAATTTTAGTATACAATAAATATTGCCAGGATTGAACATTGAACACAATAATGAAAATAGGCTGATCAAAAGCTAGATTTGTTTGTTAGCTGCTAGATGTAATAGAGTCTCCCAATCAGATTCATGGAAATAATCGAATTCTATCTCTTCAATTATTCCCATTGAAGAGCTAGAGCTCTACTTTTTAAGGAATATTTTTTTACATTCTTACTCAAAAGCAACATTTGAGAAGCAAAAATTATTAAAACACCAGGTACGCCGGGCTCGGTGGCTCAGCCTGTAATCCCGCGCCTTTGGGAGGCTGAGGTGAGTGGATTGCCTGAGCCCACGGGTTCGAGACCCCGCTTGGGCAGCGAGACCTCATCTCTACAATAAATCAAAAAATCAGCCGGCGGTAGCGCACACCTGTAATTCCGGCTACTCGGAAGGCTGAGGCGGAAGGATCGCCGGAGCCCAGCAGGTCGAGGCTGCGGTGGCCGGGAGCGGCCACTGCACTCCAGTCTGGGCGACAGAGTGAGACTCCAACTCAAAAAAAAAAAAAAAAAAACCAGGTAAGTACAAAGTATTCATGAAATACTCAGTAAAGCATCAAATGATAAAATCATTCTGGATAATTGGGTAATAGATGATGTGGACACAAGTGAAAAATACAAAATGCCAAAGCATGCCACACTTTAACCTTGTGTATCAATAATTTTCTTTTCCCAGAAGACTGTATAATAAAGAAACATATGAAATATCCTTATCTGCATTTTCATATCTTATAAATCTTGCTCCTGATAGTTGGCCACCACAGAACAGGGATCCCTAAGGGGTCCAGAGATAGATTTCAGGGGTCCATGAACTTAAATGGGGAAAATTTTACA